ACAGCAAAGGGAGGCGTGCAGCTCTTTCCCTGATGTTCTTTTATTTCTTCTTTGTAAACATATGATGATTCTCTTTATCCTTCTATCTAATATTAGAGCTATTTAAAGATAAAATCATTTAAAATAAATTAGTAATTATAATTGTTCATGTACAATATTCTATAGCATAGCTACTTTTTTTTTTTTTAAAGAAAATGTCAGTCAAAACAAAATGCCTAATGACAAAAGCTGTTAAGTGAGAAAACACTGATGTAGCTTATACTTAGGGTCCACTGCCTATCCTGAAATGCCTACTATGAGCTGTAGCTTACCTTTAATTCCTCAATGATTTAAAAAAACAGAAACAATGACAAATAACTAGAATCCTGAGTGTGGCCTACACAATCTCTTAAAATCTATATTTGATTTTGGTTAGCAAGCTTTTCTAGAACAAAAGTAACTTTTTCAGGAGACAGGACCCTAGGCAACAAAATATGGAGAATATTTAATTTATCTTAAAGTGGAGAAAGCCTGTGTAAGTGTAAAAGCAAAGGAAGAAACTCTAAAGAAAAAAAATACAAACTTGACTACACAAAAATTAAAAACTACTACATAACAGAAAAATAAAAGAATTAACAAACTAAATGACACATTGAGAGCATAAATAGGATATAGGATTGCAATAAATAGGGAAAAGGATTAATTTTACCATATATAAAAAACACAGATCCACAAGTCATATCAATAGAAAAATGGTCAAAGAACTTAAATAGGAAACTCATAAAAGAAATATGAAAGATAAAGACATATAAAAGTTCAACCTCACTACTAATCAGAAAAATCTTAGCAGTAAAATATTTTTCACTCATTATTATAGGTAAAGCATTTAATATGGCTAATTCTCAGAGCTTAGAATAGCATACTAGAGAGCTACTCTCAAAAATACACTGGTGGGAGTGAATATGTATGCCATCTTTCTAGAGGGAAGATAAGTAGTACGTATATGTCAAAAGCATTAAAAGGCTTCATTCACTGACACAAAATGACTCTTCTGGAAAGTTATTCTCAGGAAATAATTAGCACTGTACAAAAAGAATGCTACAGAGAAAGCTTATCACAATGTACAGTAGTAAAGTATTGGGAGAAAATGTACATATGCAACAACAGGAAATTCTTTTTTTTTCCACGTATATACACACACACACGTTTTTTGTGTGAGAACACTTAAGTTCTACCCTCTTAGCAAATTTCAATTATATAATACAGTGCTATCAACTAGTTACCATATTATACATCAGACCCTCAGACCTCATTCATCTTATAGCTAAAAGTTTTAAAACACAGAAGTGTATATTAAAACTGTGTTTTCAAAGAACATATCAGATTGTGAGCATTGTCACAATGAAAAATAAAATATGTTCATGTAGGAAGACAAAAACTTGAAAATGGGGGAAAAAAGATATGCACAGAATAAAAGACAGTAAAAATATATCAAAATGTTGGCAGGGGTTTTCATGGGCTTGTGGAATAGCTGGCAAATTTTATTGTTTTCTTAGTTTTCTGCATTAAATGTGCTAAGATTTGCATATACTACCTTTACAGTCAAGGGTAGGAAAACATTTTTTTGTTTGTTTTTTAAAGTGCTAAAATTTAAGGAGAAAAATGGCTCAGTGGTCAATCTATTTTTCTCATATGGATAGGAATTTTGTGTCTATATATATGCCATGCCACATATGTACACAACAACACAGCAGCACCCTAATCTTAAATCAAATCTAGCTTCTTTCCATAGAAAGCATTTGTCCACTGTAGCATCCTAACTGAATTTCCACTCTGAGAAATTATTTGTTTATCTAACATTCAACTAGAAATTGCTAAGTGTCAATAATGATATATATAATGGAGCCAACTCATCTATTCCTAATAGATAACAAAATATTGAGATGCATTTATTTTGCTCCTCATTATTCTTTCAATAAGTGCTTATTCACTGCTCAGCTCACCAGCACTTACCTTGGCTTCCCCATCTGGTAAGAAGAGGTAGGCACCACTTTTGTCCTTTTTACTCGTGGTTCCATACCATGAAAACTGCACTTTTACTTCATGACTTTTACCATCTCCTTTATTTATCATTTCCTAAGGATAAAAAAAAAAAAAATTAAAGTAATTCACAAGACATTAACAAGTTGTATCTAGTTACACGTATATGTCAATTTCAAAAAAAAAAAAAAAAATTACCTGGCAATAGATTCAAAAATAATAACATTCAGCCTCTAATATTCACAATTCTTAGATAAACACTCAAAATTTTATACTTAACCTTAGGATTTAAAATCTTTGCCACAGGAACAAAAAGAACACATTTCACCAAGGAAGAAAGAGATACACAAATTAAGAGATTAGACCAGTACTTCTCAAACTTTCTGTAGTAAAGGAGTGGATTTATTTTTATTTCCAATATGCATGGAACAATATTTTTGCAAAGTACAATGAAAGTGAATTACTAGAAAAATTAAAGTGATATGCCAAATATACACTCAAATTTTTTATTATTAGATTCAATAGGCATAATTTTACTCAGCCAAATTACTTTAAAGTTTCCATAAACATTTCTAAACAGCCACAGCTTCCATACTTATCTTGTGGACAAATAACAAACAGTCCACTGAGCAGCATCCCCCACAGACCACACTTATAAGGAGCAAGTGGTCACTGTGGACCACAAGGAGAAGGTACATATAGCTCATCTATCCTTTCTCCCAGAGAATCTGTGTCCACTTTTCCCACTTTGCAGAAGTAATCTGCATATATTATAATAAAAGTGACAAGACTTCTATAAATTTCAGAACTATTCAGAACATACCTCCATAAGCCCAGAGTGACCAAACCGCAGCTTAATAAAGGAGTTCTCTAGAGTTATATCTTCTTGAGCACTTTTTATATTATTCATGTTGAAAATTCCTTTATTTGCTATATGACCATTATATAGGACATATTCAGCTAAATGTGGATTTGAACTTGCTGTTTCCAAAATCTTATATACTTTCAGTCCCAATGGTGGCATCTGTGCTAGAAAAGAGATCTTTACAAGATAAAGGAGAGAATTTATTAAAGAGAAATGTATCTACTGAAAGGAAACGATATATAATTCTAGTAAAAAGGAGAAACTACCATATTTAAAAAAGAGAATATAGTGCTATTCTATAAATATGTTTTGATAACTTATGGGTAGAGTATCCACATCTGTTTATCCAGGGAAACTAATAACTTCAAGTGGGTAAGACTATCAAAGACATTACTGCTTTCATCCAATATATGAAATTATGTGACCATCCTCAATTGTCCTATGGTGCTCATAATGGATGCTCAGACAGGGAAATTCTCCATGAAGGTAACGGTTTATTGTGAACAATGATTTTTCCTAATTATTAGGAATCCTTTAATAATACTATAATATTTCAGTACATTAAAAATAAAAATGGTAAGTGTAACAATATAAATATTAAGCACATTAGTTCAATCAACACCAGCCATCAAATGCCTGGGGTCCAGCAGACACTGAACAACGCATGGAGGATGCACCCACCATGAGACATGACTCCTGCCTTCCAGGAGCTACTGCTCCATTCTCTAAATGGGGTGTTTCCTGTAAAATCTGACCAAAACTGGTGTTATACTTTCCTTTCTATCAAAAGGATTATGAATTTATAAGAGCAGCCAGCAATGGCTTTTAATTTTCTTTCAGAGTTCCTAGCTTATGTCTGTGTCTTTAGGGTTTGGAGTACAATTTAAATTGTACTCCAAACTATAAAAGTTAGATCTTTCCAGTGATATGGGGGTTCAGTTTAATATTCCTTATTTTCAGACATTTTTCCCCCAAAATGTCTATTATTTGAATCCAGATTTTTTCCATAATTATCTCAGAAAAGAAGCATCTTACTTATTTTAGGAAGACTTTCTTTCATGGTGTATTAATGTCACCTTTGCAGTGAAAAGTTGAAAGTATCCCAAGTTATTTAGAAGGATGGTATTTATCTCCATTTCAATATTTATAACTGTCATTAAATTAAGTTAGACAAAAAATTCAAAATTTTATGAGAAATGATTACTTCATCACTTCAGGAACAAGTTACAATAGATATACAAAGATATACAATATACATATTAATAACGCTCTAAAAATAACATACAATACACATACTAACAAAGATATTAATACTTTGGAAAACACAGGATCTATTTTCCTTTAGTGTCATTTAATTCACCAGTTAAATCCTCTGGCATTTACAACTTTAACCACTTTACATACACCAACTTGACAGCTCTCAGGGATATATATTAATACATATATAAACTATATACTGGCTATGCTTTTTTCATGTTGCCTAAGTTCTATAGAGAGCACATACCTCATAGGCTGTCTGTGAAACAGTACTTGCTGTATCCCACACTGCACTCATTTGAACTTCCACGGGCTTTCCTGAAGCAGAGGATACTTGCGCTGTCGGGGAGCTCACACAGACTGAGACTACTGAGTTTCGGTCTTGTTCTGAAGGATTGTAGACCACAAGATACCTGCAAAAACAGTCGCTTTAGTATTGGGGTCTCAAGATATTTGAAGTTTTCCACATTATTTGTGAGATTTCAGGTCATAGACAGTCATAAAGCCAACACAAGGAGAAGAATTATAAGAAATAGTCTGGTAAAACTTGGAGAACAGGCAATTTCATCACAACAAATACCACACAGTACAAAGAGTAATGAAATAATGACTCACTTTCTAAGAATAAATGTTATACAAATGAAAGACATTAATACAACTATAATTAAGTTATTTCTATGTCCCAGAAAATGACTTATATACATATGGTTTTACTGGTCTTTCTAAAATAACCAGCCCTATACCACTAATATCCTGATCCCTGCCTAACTCACTGAACAAGAAAATACATAAACTGTCTGTTTGCATTTTAGTCACAACTAATTTCAATTAAAATTCATTTAGTTCATTTATTTTAGATCACTAAAACACAGTGGAATGTATGGTAATACATGCAGAATCACATAATTCACACATATATTTTATACACAGGGGCCCTTATTATCCAAGAGAGTTGGTTCTAGAGGAAAGGTTATTTGAAGTGAATCCACTTAAAATAGAGGTTGAAATTTTATAATTAATAGTGGTAAAAAAAATTGATTGGAACTTGGCAAAATAGGGAAATAACGACTATTAAAATAAGTTTAGGCAATATTTGCAACTAAGTACAATTCTTAGAATGATGTAGGGTTTTTGACAAAATTTTTCCAACAATATTTTATATTAGTACATTATGACATCCTTCACATAACATTTCATTTTTACAGGATGGTTTTAAACATAACTATTTATATAAATTTATATAATTATATAATTAATATATTTATATATTTATAAAAAATATTCAAGGACTTAATCATTTTTCCAAAAGTTCTCTCTCAATTCTTTGATATTTAAATAATTGTCAGTTGAATCCCCTAACATCCTTGGTTTTCTCAGTAGCATAACTCTACTGGATCCTCTCTGCTTCATGGCTTTGCCTGTGAGTAAAAATGTTCTAGATCATGTCACAGACTTCATGAATTATGCACTATGCACTCTTTGTAACATTTATGATTTTACTTTATAAACAATTTTCATCATAGTATCTTCAAATAAAATAAGCAGTATCAAAGAGGATATCTGACTAATAATATAACTGATTCAATAGTGAATATTTTCATGATCTGAAATATTTTGCTTTCCTACACAATTTTGTAACTTCAGGAACACAGAAATGAATAGTCAGTCAACCACTTCTCCCTCTTACCCATAGTGATATCAGACTTGGTCCAAACAAGCTAGCATTGTTTATTTAGTGCATCAGAAAGCCTAGCAGCACTCTTTTATCCTATATGTGTCCTGTGTATTTCAACTGCATTGCAAATGGTTTGTCAGGAAATAAAATTAATACAGTGGCCAAAACTAAAGTGAAGGATAACAGAAAAGCACGAAGGAAAAGAAAGAGGATGTAGCGTAAAACCTATAAAATGTTTGACTTATAAATTGTTTATCAGCGGAAGCACTTTTGATTGAGACAGTACTGTGGGATACCAAAGGTAACAATATATGATAATAAGAACGTCTCCGGCTCCTATTAGGCTTGTAGTATAAACATCAGGATCACAAGATCTAACTTACACCATTTACGTTCATTGAGATTCCACATGTATACGAGAAAAGAGCAGCTGAAGCATGCAGTCAAAAACATATCTACAAAGGGCACTGAAGCCTCAAAGTACTAGGCAAAACCCCATTTTTATCCACAGAAGCAATTCTCAAGGAGAGTGAGAATACTGCCCCCTTGAGAGGTGTGCTTAACAGACTTACCTGAAGGAATCAACCTATTTGCACCTTCCCACTGCCCTCCACCAGAGCTCACGTTTTGCCTGATTGTTCTCCTATCACAAACACACCTGGAGAATCACAAATGCCAGGGTTCATGGTTATCAACTAGACTATACTATATTCCTCAGGTACACTGGAGAAGAAAAGCAGTTGAGGATCACTCATGTCCAGCACCAAAGATGTTCAAACCAGCATCCCAGAAATGAGTGACTTACTACTGAACCCCATGTGCCCAGAGGCTTAGAGCCACTATGTGAAGAACTCTAGAACATGTAGTCTGAAGACTTAGGCCAGTCTCTTAACTCTGCAGAAGTCGTGAGGCAGACCTAGGTACAGAGCCCAGACTTCCCACTTCAAGTTCTCTGATGCTCTACTACCCAGAGCTGGCTATAAAGGCTCTGATAATAAAATATAATGTGTCCAAGCAATAAATTAGGCAGCAAGCATCCAAAACACTGATTCTTCCCAGCGAGGAAGAAAATGACTCAAATTTAAAGCAAATAATAATTTCAACCATACATTTCGTTTTGTACAATATTAAATAGCTTTTTTTTTTTTTTTTTTTTGTGGTACGCGGGCCTCTCACTGTTGTGGCCTCTCCCGTTGCAGAGCACAGGCTCTGGACGCGCAGGCTCAGCGGCCATGGCTCATGGGCCCAGCCGCTCCGCGGCATGTGGGATCTTCCCGGACCGGGGCACGAACCCGTGTCCCCTGCATCAGCAGGCGGACTCTCAACCACTGCGCCACCAGGGAAGCCCAGCTTTTTTATAATAAGCTGTGAACTAGGTTCTGTTTTATTTTCATAGCTAATTAGTATTTGACCATAATGATGTTCCTACTATACTGAATGATTATGTAATTATCATGCCAGGAAATCTATTCAAAAACTAAATGTGTAGAGTATATAATGAGTATAAAGCTGCACTAAGAAAATAATTTTTTAACATAATTAGAGATTCACAGCATGTTCAAGTGCATCACAGCACACATTTATCTGATACATAAACCTCTATGTACATTTCAAGTAGAGTACAGAGAAAGCATTATCATACATGAATTATATTTCCTTGGGAAATAAGTACAGCATCACAAATTAACTAAATTTTCATTGTCATTATCATGTTTAGTAGTCAAACATTTGTTACACTGCCAATATCTCCAAACATGAATCCTTTTAAGTCAATCAATTGTGAACGGAACCAGGAGGTTTCATATCATATCATACTCACTTATTAAAAATTAATATTATTTCATCCACACTAACAGATGAAAAGAGTAAAATATCGCTGAAAAATGGGACTAGTTAATTTCTATTTTACCTTGGAAGTAACTATATAGGAAGCTCAGAAATACTTTTTCCCAATTTCCCCTATATTTGCATTAGCTTCTTATCTATCATCTGTCACCAAGTCACATCCAGCCTCCTAGCTTGCATTATGACATTAAGCCCCTGCAACTTGCCTACAGGCAATTATCTCAATTTTCTATATACAATGAACAACCTTCACCTCATGAAGATACCTGCCAATCAAATGAGAGGGCAAACTATGATCTACTGTGGCTGAGAGAAAAAGGAATGGAGAGAAATGAAAACACATCTGTATGCTCATGTCAAACTGGGAGTCATTTTAGGAAGAACTATAATTCCACTGTAAACGAGGTTCTGTCCTTGAAGATTCTAATGAGAAGGAGTATATTTAGAATTTCCTCACTCCTTTTGTAGAAATGATTTATGTCATGTTAAGAAAGACAACTGTGGCATTCCAGGTCCTCTCTCTGAGGCAAATCTAATCAGTGCCTACTATGAACAAAAGACTAGGACCACGCGGACTTCCTTCTTGGACTGGACACAGGGCAGAATGAAAGTAAGATGCCTCTTGGTGAGAGTGAAGCTGGAGTTACCACTTACAGAGTGCTTCCTGTATGCCGGGGTTCAGTCCTCAGGCCTATAATCTATGAGGCACAGCCTTTCATCCTTCACTGGACAGATAAGGAGAGCTGAGGTTCAGGGAGGTTAGGTATGTTGCAGAGGCGCAAGCAGCTACATGTGCCACAACAGGCTTAGAACTCAGTCCTATCCCTATTACCATCTTCTTAACCATCCTAACCACTTTATTCACAGGCCAAGCTTATAACGACCATTTTGACAACTGCGGTTTCCTGTGGAGATTCCCTTAGCTCCTAATTCACTTGAGAAGAGCTTTGTCTTCACTGATGCCAAAGATCCCCACAGACCTTCTATCTTCAGGAAGCTCAGGATGAACAAAGAGCTATTTACATTTCAGTACATTTTATCTGTGAAAGAAAATTTATAAACTGGAATGCTGGCATAGAAAATATCTTGAAACATACACTAAAGAGTTTATCTTATGACCTCACTGTATGAGGAAAGCAAAAACAATATTCAAAAAAACATTTAAAAATACTACATACATTTATGGCTGTGCAAAGAAGACAGAAATGAAAAATATTTGCAAGTCCCCTGTAAGTGCAGTTTAAAACCAATTAAGCGAACACCAGGTTATATGAAAAGTAATTGTAACTTCATGTGCCTAGTGTAGTACCTGGCATGGAATAACATTCAATAAATAGTTGATGAATGAGTAACACACAAAAATCCCAGTAGGAGAATTTATCATTTGTGAATAATACCTCCTAGTGTGGAGCTTTATGGTTTTATCAAATCATTTTCATTTTGATTATGTTAATTCCTTAAAAAATAGCATCGACAAGCTATGCAATTAATCCCTTTGCAAAGATGGGGGAAATGACAGATCCAAGATCACAGAGAAAGTTAAGAACAAAGCAAAGAGTAGAGCTCAGTCTGTCCAATTCTCAATCAATGACAGCATATTAAAAAATTCAAACAATATATTCATCTTCTCTAAGTAGCCTCATTAGTGGAGCATCATCTAAAGAAGAGTAGTAACCTTTGTACAGTATTCTGAATACGAAAATATATAGTTTTATATGTTTACAAAAATTGCACTTTCTAGATATGAACTTTTCATATAGTCTACCTAGTTTTCTAGGTTTAAAACATAATGCTTACCATATTAGCCATCAGGAAAAAAAAATTAAGCTACTAAAAACAAAGGGAGCCTTTCTGAGATACATTAGATCTTCAAAAATCATGATTAGTTCTGTG